TCACTGTTCTTCGAGTTACTGCTATGTGCATAATCCCAATGCATAGGATGAAATAATCATGGGAACAACGAGATCAAATGGCATGGTGTTAATGCGATGAAATGAATATATGGGAAGAGGAGCAAGACGAATCAATCACAATGTAAAAAAGTGATTCATCATATTCGAAGAAATAATAAAATCGCCAAAATGTTATAAATTGAAATTTATTGTTCATTTGAAATATAATACTCGTCAAATTTACATGATTTGATAAACTATACATAAATTTTTCAACGAGATTTAAAAAAAAATCTATTTTAATTCAAATATAGTGTATGTGGTTTAGCATCTTCCCATGTACGTTCTCTAATTCGTTTTCTTTGTGATTTATCAATATCTTCCATCATATCACATGCTCGTTTTAATCCCTTCAGCAAAGCTTTAACATGCTTTGTATTTCCATGTGTATGTTCCTCTCTTGTGTGTTGAACTAAACGTTCAACTTTTTGTAAGATGACTTCTAATTCTCCTTTCGATATATCTGAATCCTTATCATTATCACTATATATTTCCTGTATAGTAGAGCCTTGTCCCGATGAATCTGGTTTGGAAGCATTATATTGATACTCTCTAGTCCAAAATGGGTAATCCTGATTGCGGTGAAACTCATTATACATTAATCGGTTTTCGAGGTTTGCTGACTGGACAAGATGTTTACATATCAAAAAGCGGCTTAAAAGAAATGCTGGGCAACTACAAATCCATCGACTGCAATCGATAAAATATCTTTCATTTGAGTTTTCACTGGTAGACCTGTTAGCACACTTTTTCCAATCGTTTTTAAAATCTTTCCACCAATGAGGGGTCAACCTTGAACTTGCTAATTGGTAGAATCGAATGGTTTGATCTGGAAGCAATTTTTCACAAAGTATATAAAGAACATAATCTAATCGTGGACGATTAAATCGATAAAGATAATCACGCTTAATAACCTTCCAATGTGCCTCTATCATCATATTTGTTTTGCTAAAAGGGATTTTGGAATAAGCGCTTCTTGCCCAAAGGATCCATTTATCAGAAATATACCAGGAAAAATATATATAATTCCAAAGTCGGGAATTATTTTGTTGAACGCAAAATAGGTAAATCTCCTCGACACATCTTTTCCAAATTTCTTCACTGCTCCAAAAGGTACCATTATGATCAATTGGAATTAAGGAGTGCATATTGAAATGTTTTTTTATCATTGCCAAAACGCTTTTTTGATGGTTCGCCGGACAAACTAATCCAGTACATTCATTTTTTCTAGGAATGAAGCTTGGGTCTATGAAAGGAAACTGCGCCATATCTAAAACAGTAAAAGAACGAAACCTTTCCTGTTGTTTTGAGGATTTCATTTTTGTCAAGATTGCCTTCTCGACATGCCATAAGCAAAGTCGAATATGTCCATGTGGCCATACGTTTTTCACGGCGTTGATTTCAGCAAGATCTTTATCTGTAAATATAAGTACTGGTGAAAGTCCTAGATCTCGGAACTTTGAAAAAAACTCGGTCAAGATTGTTGTTCGTGTTGCTTCATGCTCACATCCGTTTTGTTTATTCTCTAATAGTAAGTATCCAAGAGAAAAACCAGAACCTTGATATTGTCCTATAATTCCATATAGCTCAAAAGATCCTTTTGCGGTTTTATACGTTGCATCGATATGAATTTCCTTGACTTTTAATAAGACATTAAGATTGGGTGTTGTGAATGCAATCGTTGTTAAGGTAGTGGATGCTGTCGACATCAACAATTTACATCCTTTTTCTGTATATATTTCTTGGAGGAGGATGATCGCTGATTGTACTGGGTCTTTATGTTTTTGATATTTTGCTTGGTTTGATTTGCTCCACCAATAATATATTTGTTTTGCGGTTATATCCTTTAGATCGAAGTGGACTGAAAGATGGGACCTGAGTTGGAGCGGATCCAGATGACAATTTTCTTTAATTTCTTCAAGAATCTCGGTGGAAACTTCAGCAGAAAGAGACGGATGGTCATGTAAAAAACTGTGTTTGACCTGTATGTGAGCTCGTTTCAGGAGCTTGTTAATGTGGATAATAAGTTGTCCGTTACAATCATATCGTATCATACGCTTCCGATTGGAATTCTTGAAATCGTTAAGAACTGATGACTGACTACAATGGCAATATATTGTTGCTATTTGATCCGGGTGCTTTCTCGAATAATTCGCCTTCCAAAAACTAAAGTCTACATTAATTCATTATATTAAAGTATTAGGATTAATAATAAGACTTACATCCACTTGTAACCATCACCGTCGCTCAATTCCTCACGAAGACGTTTAGAAATTTGATCCAAAGAATTCAAGGTTTCTTCGTTATCGAAAAACACAGCCACCTCAAAATCTTCTTTGTTTTCTGATCCAATATATTCGACAATAAACTGAGTGAATTCGTTTAAATGGATTCCTGCATGATCTTTAGATGGTTCACCGAGATTGCTATTTTCTTTGTCAGATGTATTAGAAGAAAATGTGATATTATCGGTATGGTTGAACTGTTGATTCAAATTTTGCAATTGTTTCAACTTATTCTTAGAATTTTTTTCATTAAGGCATCGAATACAAGTTTTTGAGAATCTTTCTTTAATTTTTTTAAAAAAATTTTCGTGAAAGGTATTTCCGCAACTACTGCAATAGAGCATGATGATAAATTAAAGAACGTAATATATTAAATGTAATATATTAAACATTATTTTTAAGACCCTTATGCGAATATTGAAAGTTCCAGTAAAAGTTTAAATAGACACGAAAACGCGTCTCTAATAAAATATTATATTCTACATTTTCACCCTTTTTTTAAAAAAATATAACGTTTATTCCTCGTTCTTTACTATATACATGTTTTATTTGGTGCTATTGTTCTACCACTATTGTTCTATCACCATTGTTCTACCATATTTAGTAAGAAAAGTATCTTCATATGATTTACACAGGGAGACGTGATTAAATAG